TGGGCCATTTCGTGGCCCAGTGGTGTGTTACCGTGTTTTTAGTGTTGGATGTTTCATATGTTGACTGCCTGATACACACAGCATATATCTAGTACTCCCATACCAGGCCTATGTCACGGCCTTTTTTACGAACGTACCAGTTTATTTTTAGACACATTTTAGGACACTTTTTCCCGCGAAAAGAGAATCTCTATCATAACTATGAGCGCATTCGAAGTATAAGATATAAAAAAGAGAAACTAAAGGCCCGTAGGTTTTGCTAACTGGTTTGTGAAATTTAAAAGATATTCAAAATTCGCGCTAAAACTCGTTCTAAAAATAAACTGGTCCGTGAAAATGCCATGGCACAAGCGCATGGAAGTTGCTCGCTCCGGGTTATGGGCTCCTGACCAACCTCTATATTTTTGCGTCCCAGAGCTTTACAGTAGTTTCGATCAATAGTAGACGCACGTGGCCTACATGTATATCAATTGCTGCGACAACACTGAAGGAGAATATAAGAAGCGAATGAACCACTTTAAAAAATTCCAAAAAAAGAAAAAACCAATCAGAAGAATAAAAACAAAAAACAAAAGAAACGAAATTACTAAGACATAGGAACTCAAAGGTAAAGAACATAATGCTTCTGTTCAAGACAAAAAATCTTCTGTTTGTTTGCTTGTTTTTGTTCACTTTTACGGGCGGAGTAATGAAGCCTCGGAATATCCTCCTCAGGTATGGTGATTTGCCAGTAGCCCTTGCTAAGATCAGTCTTTGTGAAAAACTTATCACCATTCAGCTTCTGGAACAGGTGTTCGGCGGTCGCATAGGTTCAGGGTCAATAACAGTCAGTTTATTTAGCTTCCGATAGTCAAGGCAGACTCGATTGGTATTGTCTTTCTTCTTCACTACAACAACAGGCGACGCATAGGGTGAATCAGACTCCCTGATAACTCCCATTTTAATCATATCGGCGATATCTTTCTTCAACGACTCCCTCATGCTGTAAGGAACAGGATATGGTCTTGACCGAACAGGCTCATCTGAGGTAAGTTTGATGTGATGCTGGGCGAGGTCTGTAGTACCTGGCGCCTTGGTAAATAGACTTGAAAACCGATTGGCTAGGTCCATAAACTCAGAACGCTGTTCGTCAGTAAGATTTGACCCGGTGGTAACATCTGCAACAGATTCCTTAGCATTATAGCCACAGATCTCTAGGAAATCAACATTATCATCATCCTCCGCATCCTTTACTTCACTTTCTTCAATTTCACAGTGCATATCTTCCTTAAAATGATCATCTGCTTTTACCACCGCTACTGCTCCTTCTGTTGTAGCTTCATCTCTTTCAAAATACTTCTTGAGGAGACTCGCGTGGTAAACTTTCTCCTTTCCTTTCACTTTAACTCTGTAGTCGTTAAGGCCTACTATTGAACTCACTTCAAAAGGACCCTTCCATAGAATGCGAGCAGTCTCTCTTTTTCTTCAGATTTAGTGAGAGCAACGTACGCGCGCGTGAGCGGCGAAGCCGCGAGACGCGCGAAATGAGGGCGGCATCAATTACGCGCGTGGCCATTTGCTTGTCTCGCGTTTTGCTCGACGTACTACAGAAAAAAAGAGAGACTTCTCGTAGTCTAACCCTTCCACTGCATCAGCAACTTATTGTGATCAGTTGGTAGTAGCACAAGAGCTTTCTCACCAGGCTGAAATTTTCTGACTCTAGTCTTTCGATGATAATAGTGCTTTCCTTTATCTTGAGCCTTCTGTAACTGACTGTGGGCTAATTTAAGGGTTTCCTCCAACTTCTCTAGCAGCTCAAAAACATACTGGTAGCTGTTTTTAAGTTCCGGTTCCTCCACTTCTTTCATCCAAAGCTCCTTAAGAATGGTCATCGGACCTCTAACGGCTCTTTCATACAACAGCTCAAACGGTGAAAGTAGTAGACTCTTGAGGAACCTCATCATAACCGGGGTTGATAAAGCGATGCCACATAACATAACATAAGCTTAACATAAGCTTCATTGTTCCGTTGAACTTCTCAGTTAAACCATTAAACATAGGATGGTAAGGAGTGGTTGTGATCTGCTTGATACTCAGCAATCGTGTTACTTCCTTCATGCAATCAGAGACGAACTGTTCTATGAAAGGAGTAACAGTGGTTACGCAATAAAGCCAAAAAAACCAGTAAACGACAATCAAACACCAAAATGCAGTGGAATACATTTCAGGTAAGTCTTTTTTATTCATTTCATTTAAGAAAAAGTAACTAAGGTTTAGCGTTATCTAGCGTTGACAGTTGTTCTCAGTAACATATTTCTCATACAAATTCTCTTATATTTTCAACGGTCGCCTGTAACGCGACACCGGCGCGTCACGTATGGTATGTAAATTACATTGCACCCTTCCCTCGTAACGTGAGTTTGGGCCACCTGTGCTCGTGCAGCTGGGCTCCTGTCTCCTGTCTCCTATATCAGTTTTTAAAGTATTAAGCCTGACAACGTCCTTTTGGCAAGTTTTGATACTTAGTAGGTGAGGAATTAGAACATATATGACTCTTGTTTTGGCCCGGGGGGTAGGGGGTAGGGCTACTACCTGTAATGGCTGAAATGGGGGGCCCCACCCAAAGAGAGTACCTTTTCCCTCAAAGGGTAGGGAATTTTTAATCTGGTTCCGATTGTTGGAAAGGTGGATAACACTTTCCGATGGATAAATCTCATCCGCTGGATAGCAAAATTGTTTTTCTTAATGGGCTCCTGGTATCCACTGTATAGTGATTTATCAGGTGGTAGCGCTATCCACGGATTGAACAACCGGGACCTGAAGTACACCAAAAAATAACCAAAATCTATTTAAAGGGAACTTTTGTGAAACTGTTTCCAAACTTTAGACGCACCTATATAACTTATTGAATGACAAAAAGAGTTTCAACGATTTGTTCTTATCAAGTAGCTATGCTAATAGTCTCCTTAGCAGCTGCCCGGGCCGGAGTCATGCAATACTCCCTACCCCCGTGGACTAGAATGCATAAGAAAAGGGGTACCATTTTGTCAATGGAAGGAAAGTGATTGGACCTCCCCAGATAAAACTTTGTCAAGTAGCCCCCCCCCCCCCCCCCCCCCCCCC